TAAACCCCTAAACCCTAAGCCCAAGACCCCCCGCAAAGATGCCAAATCGCACTCTGGCTTGAGGATGCCTAGGCCAGAGCATGCCCAGAACACGATGCCGGGGTTTTCTGAGCCCAGCTTCCTGAAACAAATGTCCTACTATTTGGCACATGGACCCTCAGGGATAAGGTTGAGGCTGGCAGGGTATAGGGTTTAGGGTACAGTTTAGCTATGGTTTCTTTATGGGGCCCAGCATTTTGGGTTCTCAAGATAAGGATGATACTACTATACAGGGTAGGATCCTTTATTTTCTGAAGCTTCACTGCTCCGGGTGTACAGTCTCAGGTGTATCCAGAATCCAGATCAAGGCAGAAGTACAGTTGCACTGGCACAGGGACTTAGTCTAAGCATCGTGCGACATTGCCGTGGCATTGCCGACGCGTGTAGGCAAAGCAGCGTTGGCCATGTCTGTCTCTTTGTCGGTTACGACCTCCTCCACAGATGACGAACCGCACTACTGCTATTTCTGTTCTGATCAGCCTGCCAGACGTTACTTCTTGTGCTGCGGGGTCAGGCTGTTCACCTGCGGATGCAGGCGAAGCACGACATGCCCGACATGTCGGCGGCCGTTGACAGAGCTTCATACAGATGATGGAACATGGGGGCAGCAGGAGCATGTTATCCAAGGGGCAGGAGCAGTTGCACAAGCAGCCGAAGTCGAACATGACGCACTCAACATCGAGGAGGAGAATCTCCAGGTATGTAGGCCAGGACAGGAACCGATGCCAGAGCCCGATGCGGCAGCGATGGACCGGCCAAGACAACTTCAGCAGATGCCGTGGTGCCCACCTTTAACACGGCCACCTGCAGAAGGACTGCTGAAGTACCCTATCTTCCAAAGAAGGTTGGACAATGGCTGGATCCGCTACGACTTCCATGAGGACGACGAGCGACGAATCAGAAGCAGAAGTGGGCGCACACCACCCGAAGGATGCCGTGATCTGCACCAGGGTGGCCGCCCGTGCTGGAAAAACCTGCCACGGTGCGAGGCCGTCAGGCCGGAAGAGGCCTGTTATTTCCTGGTGCATGACGGCAAAAAGCTCCTGTTTCACGCATCTCGCAAGCCTGTCCGAGTCCGGCTTGCCAAGATCGTGTTGGGAGTGTGGTGGGACGTCGAATGGAGTTGTGTCTACTCCGACGCGGTATCGGCAGAACCTACACCATTCGTATCCACCAGGACTAGCTTGTGACCACGCTTTCACCATCGATGTTTCCATCAGGGTGACCAGAGTTCTTCTGGCCATCATGGGCACATCTAGCTGAGCTCCTCCGATTACTGGGGCATGCACGGGCGGCATGGAGCCCAAACGATCCTAGTTTAGTTCCCTATACTTGCTATTGTGAAAATGCGCTCCAAAGCCACATCCAAGGACTTGTAGGCCCCAGCACTAAACCCTACACCCTAATCCTCGGCCCTGAACTCTAAACCTCAAGCCCGAAGCCCTAAACCCTGAACCCCAGGCCCAAACTCTACATCAAACCCCGTACTTGGAGGTTCATGGGTAGTTATAAGTAGGGTTATAAGTCCCCTAATATAGAACTGGCTGCTGCTTCCACGCGCTCCTCGTCCCTCCAGAGTTTCTGCGGGAGCTTCTGAGATGCAAAGCTCCAGAAGCCGCCCCAGCACCAGGAGGGATGTTTGCTTGGAGGATCCTGGTACTCTGTCTGGTGCTTAGTAGGGAATGGGGGAATGGATCCCTATGATAGTCCTTTAAGGTCCCTTATAGTAATCCCTATAACCCATTCCCCCATTCCCTACTAAGCAGCAGACAGTACTGAGTAACTATAGCGGCCTAAATAATTAGAATAGGGTCTTGGGGTCCATTCTACTATAATGATAATAAGGAGCTCCCAAAACAGTATAGGTAATTATTCAAGCCCCTACATTAAGGTTTTACGTACCCTTGGGGTTGCCAATAGGGTTCTTTCTGGGGTGTCTCGAAGCACAATATGAGGGTTTACAAGAGCGTTCAAAAGGGGATCTATACGGCTAAGGGGCTTCTAGAAGGGTTTAGGTCTCTGGTGTGTAGGGGTTTAGGGGTTTAGGAGCTTTGGGGTTTAGGGGTTTAGGGGTTTAGGGGTTAGGGGTTTTAGGGGTTTATGGTGTACATAGGGGGTTTTTACTCATGGGCCGTCTGAGGCGGATCACGACGAGCTCTGCAAAGCCAAGCCAAAAAGCCTACTTTCCCGTGGCTGGGGTTCGGGGTTTAGGACTCAGGGTCTGGGGTGGGTTTAGAATCGCAAACCTGACCATGGGTAGTTCTCTAAATTAGGGTCCCTGTCTAGGTCCCCAATATAATACGGCACCCTTATAAAAAAAGGACCCTAAAACGGACCCTAGTTTAGAGAACTACCCACATGAGACTAACATAATCTGCGACCTTCTGCCAGCAAAGGATTTGGGCTGTTCTCTAACTCGGCAAGTCTTATGGCTCCCAGTGCTTACTCGGAGGTTCACGGTAGTTCACGTGGAGTTATGGGTCGCCGAATACGGGTAATCGATATGGATACCCTACTACTCCTACCCATGAACCTCTAAGTTCACCCTGAACCCTAAACCCTAAGCCCTAAACCCCTAAACCCTAAACCCTAAACCCTAAACCCTTACCCCTAACCCTAAACCCTTACCCCTAACCCTAAACCCTAAACCCTGAACCCTAAACCCTAAGTTCAGGATTTGTCATGTGCGCCGTGGAAGTTCCGGGTCGCCTGTTCATCGTGGGGCTTGGGGCCCCTTTGAAGGCCCAGGTGACCTCTTAATGCAGGAGTAGGGCTTATACGGTTAAGGGGTTTAGGGTTTGGGAGCATTAATCGTTACCTATACTATTTTTTGGGGGGTTCCTTATTCTGACTATTATTTAATGGGCCTTAAAACCCTATTCAAATTACTAAGGTTCTAGATTAAGCCTTTGACCCGAAGTCTAAACCTCCCAACCCTAAACCCCAAACCCCCGAACCCCTGAACACTAAGCCTAAGGGGTTTGGGGTTTAGGGTGTTTAAGCCTTAAGGCTCTAACCCTTATGATAGCAGCCCGTCACGGAACCCTTAAGGATCCCTTCTTGGAAACCCGTTAACTTCAAGGCTTAAACCCTGAAAGGATCCCTAAACCCTTGCCCTTAAAGGGGACCCTATTATAGAACCCTAAAGTACCCTTAACGGGGACCTGATTCTAGAACTTCGAGGCTCAATTCCCCGAAGAGCCCGGACCCTCCCAGATCGCACCGAAGGCCCAAGCTCAAAGCCCCAAAGTTCTGCCGAATCTTCACAGGGTTTAGGGTCTAACATAGGGGCCTTAATAATTAGAATCGGGTTTTGGGGGTATATTATACTATAATTATAATAAGGAACGGGTTCAGGGCCGAAGTTAATGTAATGGCTTAAATAATTAGAGTAGGGTTTTGGGGGTTCCTTATTATAATTATAGTATAATATACCCCCAAAACCCTATTCTAATTATTAAGGCCCGTACATTAGGGAAAGAGCCTCAAACAAGAAACCGTCTAAGTCCCAGCGCCTGTTCCAGCCGATGGCTTGAGATGTGGAGCTGGTCCAGGTATAGTCTCCGAGAATCCTCTTAGGAGCCCAGTAGGTAAACTTTAAACTTGTTGGCATATTAAACCCCTTACTAAAAGAAAAGTTTAAACTTTTTTGGGCCAGGGTACTGGGCTGCTAAGGCCTTGAGACGGCATTACGGAGTCTAAGACTCTAGAGCACTGTTTCTGATCAACGCCCGTGTTTATCTTCGGCAGACGCACCCTTAAAAAAGGAAAACATGAACCTTAAAGCCCTTGTCGCCATAGAACCTGCAAGCCCTAAACCCCCACATGCTGGCCCCGTATTTTGAAGATACTTGGAGGTTCATGGGTAGGTATAAATGGGGTTATAAGTCCCCTAATATGAGTTATAATTCTAGTTGCCCTACTCAGAACCCCACTTATAACTACCCATGAACCTCCAAGTATAGATGCCAGCTGCATACGTGTGCCCTCAGGAGAAGCGGGCCCAAGTTATTCGAGGCCAGATCACCGACAGTCATCCTTGTCCGGGTACTGTAGAAGCCTGAACCCAGAGAGCCCAATACCCCTTAATTAAGGAATAGACCTTAATCTATAGAGGCCTTGATATTATGATTTAAGGTATATTCCTTAATTAAGGGGTATTGGGCTCTCTGGGAATGACCAGCAACGCCATTTCCCGGGGTTCGGGGGGACCCCTGAGAATGCAAACGTAGACCCACCTAATAATATCCCTTTTTAGAGAGCCATAAGAAGGGTTAAGAAGGGTCCCTTTTTAAGGGGTCTCCATGATGCTACCTAGGATTATAGTATCCTGTGACAGGCAGTTCGTGATATACTTCAGGTTTTGGGGGTCTAGGCAAGTCTGAAGTATCAGACCAGAAATAGTTTCCGCTGTCAATCACTGTACATGTAGCTTAGACTCTGGCCCTACACCCAATTCTAAATAACAAGGCCCCTAAAAGCCCATGAAAGTCTAGGTCGTTTGTACACACACCACCTTCCCGTTCGAACTACCAAAGCCCACCCCCTATTCAGGATTGGGTGTTTCGGTGTATTGAAGGCTCAGGTTTCAGGACGGAGGGTCCGGGAAAACGAGGTTTCGGAGTCACCCAGAGAGCCCAATACCCATTA